GACTACCGTTTGGGTCGGGCTAGCATATGAATTATCTAAGTCCGTTTCATATGTAACGTTGTGCTAACGAAATGAACTCCCTTAGACTTAGCGCTACGATATTGAATACATAGACTTGGCCATTTTTTATAGGAACAGACCACCCGGAAACACGTGCTAGGTGTAGACTTTAGGATTTTTGACAAACCCTTAGCCATCAACGGGTTTGAAGAGCCTTTACCGACTATCGTTTGGGTTGGGCTAGTATATGAATTGTCTAAGTCCATTTTATATGTAATGTTGTGCTAACGCAATGAACTCCCTTAGACTTAGCACTATGATACTGAATATGTAGACTTGGTCATTTTTTTTACGGGAACGGACCACCCGGCAACACGTGTTTGGTGCTGACTTATCCCTATTTAGGCTTTAGGATAAAATTCACCGCACGTGTATGACGTGGATTATAGTGTTATAAATAACAACCTGCCATAATGTAGAATATGTGGGCTTTTGTCCTTTTTACGGTAAAAGACTAATCGGCAACACGTGTTAGGCGTTGACTTATCCCTACTTAGGATTCGGGATAAAATTCTCCAGACTTGTATTCTGTTGTCCTTTTTAATCGGTGAAAGACTAAACCGGTTACGCGTGTTAAGCGTTGACTTATCCCTACTTAGGATTCGGGATAAAATTCCCCGAGCGTGTAAGGCACGGATTACGGTGTTAAAATGTGGTGTCTTCTCTTATGGCAAAGACGAACCCGACACTGAAGAGAAAGAATTTTATATTCTATCTCCGGTTGCAAAAGAAACTCAAAGTGGGATTTTTATTTTGAGAATATGTGAGGTGAAACTAAGAATGGGATCTCCACTCCGAGAATAGAAAATTCTAGATAACCCTAACTTTTATAGGATTGGTTACCTGACTTGAAGATGAGTTTCTGACTTTAGTCCTAACTTTTATAGGATTGACGAAGGGGAAAGGGATGAGAGTTTTTTGTTTATCGAAAAGAAATCCCGACTTGGGCCACAACCATTTGATGGTTTTGACCAAGAGGAGATACTAAGACGACCCTAAATAGGTTTGATCGTTCAATTGGGGTGGAAGTCTTTCGTTTTATCGAAAGAAAAGAATCCGACTTAAAAGTGGGCCTCTCGTTCATTGAAGGAATCGAGAGGGGAATTTGGCTGTGGTTGTGGTACTAACTATAGGAAGGTTTGACCAAATAAACAGTGAGAGTAGGAGTACAAATTATAGTGGGATTGTTGATTCATACAAATATTTCGAAGGGAGTTCTCAGTGTTAAGTGACAAATACTTAATACGAAGAGGTTTGACAATTATCTCTGATCAGGAGATTAAAATTCCAAACACTATATCTGGACTCTAACCATGGGAGTGTTAATTGCACAGACGTAGCAGGAGCTTGAGTGGAGTAAACCAGGGAGAATTTTAGCAGACCCACCGTCAATTAATTTGATCAGTGAGATATTTTGTGGTGGAAGAGTGTAAATTGACCACAACAGTAGGTTCATGAGGGAATATTATAGCCAATCCAGCTGATCTCGGGTTATCCTTAAGAACACCCTGTACAGTATTCTCCAGGAACTTCCCGTTTTAGCAAGTTATCCTGAGCATACTAAGGATAGTACTTTTTTAGGAATTTCTCTTTTATTGGCATCATGATTTTGTCACCGTTTTGGGTGACCAAACGGTATGCGTCATTAGAGTAGACCGTTTCAATTACAAATGGTCCTTCCCATTTGGGTTGAAACTTGCCTTTCTTCTTTAAGTTGAGTATCATTGGATGCCGGACGACGAGAACCAAATCTCCTTCTTTGAAGCTTCGTTGCTTGATTCTTTTGTTAAAAGCACAAGAAATTCTAGCTTGGTAAAACTCAATTTGCTATTGAGCTTTTAAATGCTTCTTGTCCAACATCTCAAGTTCTTCGAGTTGTTTTTTATGTTGTTCCTCTGTCGTCATCCCAGTTGCGAGAGCAATACGGAGGGATGAAATTTGGATTTTTAAGGGAAGAACAGCTTCGCATCAATAGACCGAGTACGGAGGCTGCCCGGTGGGCATGCGAACTGTGGTGCGATAGGCCCAAAGGGCTTTACCAAGTTTGTCATCCCAGTCTCGCTTGTTAGTTCTCACGAGTTTTGATAAAATCTTTAAGATTGTCTTGTTAAACACCTTCGCTAATTCATTTGCTGTGAGATTATATGCCGTTGATGAGACATCTTCGATTCTGAATTTCCCACAGAATTTGATGAAGGCATTACTCACAAACTGAGGGCCGTTGTCATGTACGATTCTTCTCGGAACTCTATATCGGTAGATGATGTAGTGTTTAATAAACTTGATAACATTTCTAGTCTTTACTTCTCTCAATAGCACTGCTTCAGCCCACTTTGAAAAATAATCGGTGATTGCCAAAATAAAATGGTCCCCTTTGATCGACAGCAGGAAGATAGGACCGACGATATCCATTCCCCATGTCTTGAATGGCAATGAAATAGCTGATGGGTGTAGGTGTTTCAGGGATTGATGCATCAAATTTGCGTGTATTTGGCACGCGTGGCACCGTCGGGCATAGTCAACCGCGTCCTTAACCATGGTTGACCAATAATATCCCATTCTTTAGAGATGATCATAGAGCTTGGGGC